ACCTCCACGTGGTGCAACCTGGGCAATGTATACTCATACGTCAAAAAATCTATTAATGGGGAATTGACTTTCAACTACCATGACCAGACTGTATGTCATATTCGACTACTTCAACAGTACTTACCTCCCCATTTCTTCTATCTTTGTGTCGGTCTCTTTTACATCTTTGAATCACTCTTCTGTTCCCCCCTCTCGTCCTTTTTCACTTTGATGTTCCTTCTCCTCTGTGAAGCCTGAACTCAACTAATGGACTAATGATGACTATCAAAACGCCTGCCATTTTATGTGAATAAATATCTGCTAACATTGTATACACGGATAATTTTGCTAAAGTAATCATCACTTTATAAACTAAAGCGACTCGCTTCACGTCTAATATATGACCTCGAATATTCTATAAAGAAGTGACCTGAGGTAAATATCTTTTGTCCACTTTTTCCATTACTTTCAGGCTGTTTGCTACGGTTATACCTCACTAACATATCCAATAGGAATTATGTCTCCTGGCACTAACTTCTTATTTTAAGTAACACTCATTATCATTCCTAGAAGTATATTACTCTGAAATTTCCTTATTTTTATTTGCTTGATATTAAGGAATATGCTCAAATTCCTTAAGCTGGCAAGCGGCGAAATTATTAAAAATCACATCTTGACTTACCAGCGATTTTCGACTTCCCATTCTGATGCAACTGGAGATATCCTGCAGAACGGTTTCTACTATTTCCTCTGGCGTCAGATACTTGATAAAGAATTCTACTAAATCCAACGCGACCAGGGTCGTCTAAAATTGTTTTTGCATTTATATTATTACTGTGTAGAGTTAAAGAAAGTTAACAACAACGCTTCTAAGAGTATTTCTCACATATGGAAAGAGATTTTTTGAGTTGGTTTGTGAACTACCATTAATTCAAGACTGGATCCTTACCGATTCTTCTGCGTGACGAACAGAATCCATACACTTAGCATAGAAGTTTAAAACTGCCAACAAAAATTATCTGGTTAATCACAATTTCTAAATGAAAGTTATTATTTTGCTTGCATACTGTTTGGGCTAGATTCTCGAAGCTGCGTGTCCTCCTATGTTTCCCCTTCGTCTACTGCTCTGGAAATTCCCAGAGCTCATTAGCTTTTTTGAGTTAACCACCTGTACCTCATTACACAGAAGGCATTTTACCATCTTCAATCGTGTGATAAAATTCCCCTGGGAGATAACCGAAAATCTCGCAATATTTGGTATTTTGATATAACTGTCACTTAGCCATGTTTGTCTCCACTGGCCAGGCTAAGAATTGCACATAAATTTGAAAAAAAATGGAATTCACCTGTTTGTTTTTGGGACCGCGGAGTACAGCGACTAGTCGATCGTGGAGATAAAGATCGAAATCAACCTTTTCTGCTATGTGCGTAGTAGCAAGAATGGAGGGAAAAACAAAAGATTGCAATTCCACATGAGTATCGTACCATTCCCATAGAAGAGGCAGTACTTTCTTGTAACGAAAAGCCTAAAATACGATAAAAAACCCATTTCATTGTGTCTCAAGATACTGGAAGATCTTGAGGCTTTTAAAAGTTCGACAACTCTTCTTTCACTGGTTTTAATTTTTCATGGCCTACAATTCAAGTGGTTTTGAAAATTAGCTTACTCAAGACACTGCATATTATATTTTCAATTTATACTAGTTTTGATAATTTAAATTAATTATTTTGTCCACTTTATCACTGCAATAGTTGAGAAGTTAAAAAGGAAGAAAAATAGGAGTAAAATTTACAGCAGAATCCTCCAATGGGCGTTATAGGTAGTTTCTTTTCCGTTTTTTGGGCTCAATCCCAACAGAAGTCACTATTTTCTAAGTACCTGGAGTTGACAACGACAACGGTAATTAGATGATGGCACTTTTTTTGAAAAGGACTTACAGAACGATAACATTTCTGCTTATCAAATCAATTAACTTATCCAATTAGTAATAAAATTGAGATGAATATCTGCTACCTTTAGGAAAATTCCTCCCTATCGATATTTGTGTCATCTCTTCTTAATTAAGCTATCTTGAATAGTTGTTAAGACAACTTCACTTCATCATGTAGCATAACGTAGAATCAAACTCTTTAGGGTCGCGCTGGAAATATATGAAAATAGCACTTCGATTACTTGGGCTGTAGCAACGGATAGGAGCTTTAAATTCGTGGTGAATTGATGTGGGTTCTAATCTACGCAAATTTGTCCTCCTCAAGTTATAATGTGAGGAAGCTTTATTATAAAGCCTAATTCATGCACTATTTTCGTTGCTTCCATCGGCCACATTGTCAACCAGACAGTCGGATCAATTGAAAGTAATTACTGTAAAGGCTTGACAAATGTAACCTTCTGCCCAAATTGAAATTTCAACTGCCTGATTCTAAATTCAAAATATTTTGCCAACGAATAATGGGCATGAATTCACGATTTTAATATCGATTGCTCAAAGAGAAAGTCCTTGTTCTAGTAGCTATGACAAAAATTTTACATTTGAAGATAATTGTAGCTCAAAGGAAATTTTGTCGTATTTTTTCAGCAATTGAGATTTACACTTGCATAGATAAGAGAAAAGTTTACGATGTCCTGGAAATGAAGAGACCGTGCTACTAAATTCAATTTCCGAAAAAGGAAAAAAATAATTAACAATCCTGATTTCAATTTTGAGAATATCAAACCCCCCTTCTCCTCTAACCTCTTCTCAAATATTTTTTTATTTGAAAAATATTTTTTCTTTTTTTAATATAATCCCTATGGTGTAAGAAATTAAATGAATAACTTTGAACAACTACACTTCCGTCATTGGAAGACTTAAAAAATATTCAAATCTTTTAATTTGTTCCATTAATTTGGAGTTTAATTAAATAGCTAATGCGCAGACACGGAGTCTCGAATTTCAGCTTTTGAATAAATGGAAGGAAACACATATTCGGTTAGTTTTTATCGAAGTAATCTCTTTAATTAATAGGATATTTGTGTTGCGCAGTTATGAAACCACAAAGTTTAAAGTTTGGATAATATTAATTATCAAATTTAGATTAGTAACGAGAACCAATCAACTCATCTTTATCGTGTAATTATTGCGCTTTGGTTAATTGCTTAATATGTCTGCATAGTCTCAAGACGGTTTCGCCTCTTCTCATGCAATTTCTCGTAGTCGCAGTGCAGCATATTCACGAAATTTGAATTTGCATATTACTAGTTAAGTAAATTGTTCAATCCTTACCTCATCAAATTCAGGAATTGCCTTTGCAAAACGATTAAAAAACTCCTTGATTTGATTTTGAGAACGATTTTGAAGTGTTAGAAGACCTTCGTAGGAGAGGAGCGAAGGTTCATTGAAGATTTTGAGCTAAAATAGTATAGATCATTGAAAAGCATTTGTAGACCCTTTTAAATGTATTTGTTAAGCTATCGCGTTTAAAGTTAGGACGTCTTTCTGTTATTTACTACCAAAACATTATTAGTATTTATCTCATAATATCAGTGGAAGTTGGGAGGGGGGGGGGGAGGGGGTTGGATGAGCGTAAGTCCATTTGCTAATGAAAAACAACGATTCACGGGGAGAAACGTTTTTGGTGTGCATGACAAAGCGTCAAATACGAAGAATTCATGAGTAAATAGAACTCACTTTCCTCAACCCGTACCATTCGAATTAATTCATTTTTCGAACTCTGTATTTGAGCTTAATTTTAGCCTATGACGATAAGACAAGTTTGAATTAGCTTTTGAAAATCCAGTTGGGTTGTTTTGCATTCTTTGTCTATTGAATACTCTACTAAGGATTTGTGGAATTGTGACAATGAAAACAATAATTTCCCACTAACTACAATGTGGATACATTGTGGATTTTAAACAATTTTAAAAATTATCTTTAAAGAATTATATGTTTATTGTTAAAACCCGAGTTTTCATTACAATATACCAAATTTTTTGTTACGATTATAATCCACATTCAGGTAGATGAGACTTGACTTGCATCAGAAAATAGCGTGCGACAACTGAAATTTTGTTTGATAAATTGCGCAGAGTGACCTCAGTAGAATGCTATCCAGAGGGTGGGAATTTTCTAACCCCTGACAGAGCGAGGACGGAAAGAAATTAAAGCTTATATAAAAAACCCTATGGATAATTAGCTTTACGTTCGTAAGTTGGATTAGCTTGTTTAAACATGAGATGTTTTAAAAAGGTATATGCAACTAGAAATAACACTATGAATTGTTTAACGCTCATTACCATTTTTTGGATAAACTAACTCCTTCGGATTCTGGTGAGATTTGCTAATGGAAAAGCACAAAGCGCACATTTGCTTAGTATTTATGCCTGGTATGTATATCATGGGAAAATATAATGCTAATAATCATCTGATGTAATGAGGCAGCTTCTGAGGAGTTATGCATAGTAAACCCGCATTTAACCCTTTTAACGCCTTGCCGTGTGCAGCATGTTCAATTCGTCTACAGCCCTCGTCGACAACAGTCTGCTGTGCGACACACGTGGCTGTAGTTAGGTACATTTTTCAAAAATAATCGAGTATTGAAGGTTTAAAGTAGCCATTATGTTCAGTTATAAATGTTTTGAAACTTCCTACTGTTTTTATGAAACCGATGTAGCCAGTATTTATGTGATTTGAGAATTTGTACTGATAGGGAAAAAGATCAACACTGAGACAAGCAGAAAATAAACTCTAGGTGTCAGTGACCATGTTTGCAAACAGCTTAATCTATCAAGACCAACATTTAAACTGATTAAAATATTTTGATTTCGCATCGTTATACAATACTTTGAAAATCTTACCAATGCAAGAAGTTGTGAAGTGGGTCGTTCACGAACATCTTGGCTGATCATTTTTCGAACGGGTTCAATCAGGGGTTTCGGCATGCGATCTACGATTTCCTGGAACTTTGCCGGTACCTAAAACAAACAAAGTTCAAGTTCTTTGAGCAATCATTTTGCAGATCGGAAAACAAAGACGGCTTAATTTCAAGACGTGAATTTTTGAAAAAAACTGGCTTTCTCATGTTCTAGAACATAATTGGGGGGGGGGGGTCGTTTTTTCTCCTCACATATTTAATTGGACCATTGGCAATAGATATGGATTCAACTTAGTTCGAACTTTCACTATAACTGTTTGCAAGGCTATACTACAAAGTGGATTGAGAGGTTAAAAATTAAATATGGGTAGTAAAGTTTAAGGCACCAATTAGATAGACTTTTTTATTATTTACGGCAGTAAATTTTAAATCACCATCTCCATTTTAAAATTGAGAGCTAAGGTCTCATTCAAAATCCATATAACTTTGTAGATAGTCATCTCGACCAATCTAAGTAATAAAATGGCATTATATTGTCTTTAAATACTTATTGAGCGCAATTGCTGAATGGTTGACATTTTGCGCATATAAGAGAACTATCTATTTTTTAGATAGTGAATCAAATAGCATTTATCTTCCCACCAACTATAAGAGGGTATTAGAACATAGTTGAAACAAAAAAACACAAGTCAGTCAAACATATTCTTACTGGGAAAAGTCTAAATTTAGGTCCCTTAAATATACTTAATCAATTCCATATAATGGAAAGGAGCTATTTTGATTGGATTACGAAAATGCACTAAGCAAAGCCATTGCACAAAAATTTCCCAATTCATATCGTCAATTATGGCTCGTGCATGGTATTATCGGAATTATCACACATGCACACACACACATTCACTTGTAAATATTTCTCATTTTAAGCTTTGTTTGTCAGCACAACGCTTTTTTTGCGCCATCCACAGCACATTCTGAGAGCATAATTAACCATAATTGGTTGCTTAAATTAAGGTGACACGCAAAAAACGCCATGCAGTCTAATTTAAACTTTCAAGGAGAAAATTAATGCATGCAGATAATAATCCATTTTTGTTCTTGGCAATGTTATTTTAATAAATATTTGCTTCCAGTTTAAACTAAAAGTAACACTTAATTATGGAATTTTTTTCCTAACTAATGGAGTAGCCTTGTGGAGAGAATAGAGATCTGTGGTGACCGGATATCATTGGTCAACGCTCCAAATTTCGCGATATAATTTGAATCTCTCAGCTAGAGCTTCACTGCAGACAAAATTATGAAGAACACAAGATAAAATTACATGCAAAATTAAAAAATACAAAGGATTGCTCTTTATATATCACGGGAGTTAGGTCATGGGGTTACTCTTTAAATAGCACTATTCATTTAAAAGTCCATTTTATGAGTGCAGTTTCTTACACTACTCGCAGATAGAGAAAGAACACTCGTAAGTTAAATTGACAACTCGAGGATATATATTTCAGATAATGACAGACGTAAGAAACTTTGCCAAAAATTTATGCGAACTTGTGGTGCAGCGGCCAGCAAACGTATCTAAAACGTCAGAGGCATTGAAATGGATTGTTACCTATCGACGTAACTTCAGTTATGTGAGTGATCAACTCTACAGATTAATTTTGACCAATAAGGGAGCTGGTAGTGTGAACTTTTCGGTTAAGCTGTTCAGGGAGGCATTCCAACAGCCCAAGTTGAGTGATGCTAACGGTCATCCCAATGAGCTTGAGAAAGAAGCACTCACATTTTGAATTGCCGCGGGATAATTTGCTACATTTCCTTCGCAAGCTAGCAGTGAGGCTCCATTGTTAAATATGGCGCAGATTACCATACCGAGAGAGAAGATATCAGCCAGAGGGGACATTGTGCGATGGAGTTGGACCTCTGGGGCTATATATTCCAAGTCGGGTTGGAAAGTTTTCCCACCTTTTGGATTGTAGCCGATGAAGTTGAAATTATTCTGTAGAGAAATTTATTATGCTATTACAGTTGAAAGAATGACTAGGAAGCATATAGAGTTTCAATTGGGTTGTTTGGTTCATTTCCAGACAGCTTATAACTAACTTCTATAACACATTGTCAGTTTGCCAATTGATCGAAACGTCCTTATAGAAGTTACAAGACAAACAGGGAAGAATTTTCACTTTTTTAAGATTTTATCGTGAGTTACCCTCTCTGTTTTGGTGCTATCTCATTATAATCAACAATTTTTTCCGGAAATTTGCCCTTTCCAAAAGTGGCTCCAACAGATGGCTCGGATCCGCAGCTGAATCTCAAAAATACAAAAAAATCCCATATCTAACTTACAGTTACTCAATTTATAACGGTAAATATCAAGCTGACGGTAACATATTTTCCAAACAATTGAGCACTCCTCATAGAAAGGAAAGGAGACACCATGAAACCACGTAAACCAACGCGTCATCGACACATAAGATGTTATTATCTTATGATAAATTGGGCAGCAATTTATTTATTTTACTCTGAGCACGGCTCATTATTTTCTACTTATGTGTCAACTCGCCTGATGTCTACGAATATTTGCTCCAAGGTAACTAACTCGACTCGACAATATATATTCTATGCTACGTCGTTGACATATCTTCTCTGAAGAAATTAGTACCACCACCTTTACAATATCTTTCTTATTAAGAAACAATATTCTCTCAAAAATTATGGTCAAAGAAATTAAATAAGCTTTTGAACTGATTGTATTTCTGAATCATTAAACGAAATGATAGTAACTAATAGGTAAATAATTTCATCAAAAGTTTCATAAATTAACCGCAATTCAGATTAAACATATGCCGTTAAGGAAGTAATTTTATGGGTTTAGACGGTAAATATTGCATTACCTTAATCAAAGCAGGAAGCATTCTCAAAAGCATTACTTAAACTTCTCAAAGCAAATTCTTTTCAAAAAGGATTAAAGTAATTTTACTACTTGTATATTGAGTCTTTTCCTATTTTTTCTTCAGCGTCTGCTTGCATATGCCAAAAAACTCATTTGAAATGGTAAAATGATTGTATTGAAATTTGAATTTATATATATATATATTAAACTTTGAGAAGTGGAAATGCAATGGAGTAGAGAAAAAATGTAAAATTACACTCTTAGGTTCACGAAGGTTTAAGTTCGAGTCCGATGTAGTATTATTATTAATATTATGAAAAATAATTGCGTCAGTTAATGCTATTCAAATTCACAATGATTTCTTGGAGAATGAAAAAAATCAGAAACTGAAACTATGCCTTTCCAAACAGGTTATTAATTCCATAATGCTCGTTTCGTTTACGAAATTCCATAGAATGTAATTATAGAAATTAATATTTTTCAATAGAAATTTTTAGAATCTAGTATTGTTTTTTATTGAAATCGTCTTTCTTGTGTCTTTATGTTCATTAATCGTCATTTAATCTAAAAGTGAAAAGTTACGTACCTCAATGTGCATTCAAAACGAATCGAAACGCATTGTTAGATTCATTCAATTTTCATCATATAACACTCAAAGTAAAGTTCCATTTTCAACTCCAGTGGAAATTTTTAATCTTTCTGCTAGGTGAAACAAATTTCCAGAGACAGAAAATTAATTATCGCTTTGAGTTCCTCGGGCTGTTGGTGGTTCTGTCAGTATCGTGCGCAAACGAACCTTTTGCAAAATTGGGTGAGTTCGAAATGAAATTGAGCAACGAAATTGCCTCAACATCTTGGACTAGGATTGCCTCATTGTTTTGTAGACAGCAACAGCAAATGATTTCTAGAATTCTGCAACGAACTTAAAGTTCGAACAAAGGAAAAACAGTGGAGAGTGGCACTCTACCACATGCAACGAACTTAAAGTTCGAACAAAGGAAAAACAGTGGAGAGTGGCACTCTACCACATAGAGGAGAAATAGTGGACAGTGGCACTCTCCGACATACCCGGCTGGCGAGAATCGAAGCCGTTGCTGAGTTTAGACTACGTATCGGACAGAGCCGTTTAGACTACGTACCGGACACGATTGCTTGGCAAAAAACCCTCACAAACGTACCGGACACGATTGCTTGGCAAAACACCTTCACAGAGGGGAGTATACACTCAACCCACATGCCCTCTATGTAACCTAACACGATTGCTTGGCAAAACCCCTTCACAGATTGGGAGTATACACTCAACCCATATGCCCTTTCACAGACTGGGAGTATACACTCAACCCACATGCCCTCTGGATTGGGAGTATACACTCAACCCACATGCCCCCTATGTAGCCTGGGAGTATACACTCAACCCACATGCCCTCTATGTAACCTAACGATTGCTTGGCAAAACACCTTCACAGATTGGGAGTATACGAGCCGTTGCTGAGTTTAGACTACGTACTGGACAACCGTTGATGAGTTTAGACTACGTACCGAACACGATTGCCTATAAACACCTTCACAGATTGGGAGTATACACTCAACTCACATGTACACCTTCACAGATTGGGAGTATACACTCAACCCACATGGACCTTCACAGATTGGGAGTATACACTCAACCCACATGCCCCCTTCACAGATTGGGAGTATACACTCAACCCATATGCCCTTCGTAACCTGGGAGTATACACTCAACCCACATGCCCTCTATGTAACGTAGAGGAGGAAATGGAGAAGGCCCACCTGATTCGGTGTCCAGCTCTAAAGACATCGACGGAAACCCAGAGGTACTGGGAAGCAAGAAGACGGCTAATGAACTGC